GCGTCTAGAGTGAACACCGCCACGCGTCTAGAGTGAACACCGCCACGCGTCTAGAGTGAACACCGCCACGTGTCTAGAGTGAACACCGCCACGTGTCTAGAGTGAACACCGCCACGTGTCCAGAGTGAACACCGCCACGTGTCTAGAGTGAACACCACCACGCGTCTAGAGTGAACACCGCCACGCGTCTAGAGTGAACACCGCCACGCGTCTAGAGTGAACACCGCCACGCGTCTAGAGTGAACACCGCCACGCGTCTAGAGTGAACACCGCCACGCGTCTAGAGTGAACACCGCCACGCGTCTAGAGTGAACACCGCCACGCGTCTAGAGTGAACACCGCCACGTGTCTAGAGTGAACACCGCCACGTGCCTAGAGTGAACACCGCCACGCGTCTAGAGTGAACACCGCCACGCGTCTAGAGTGAACACCGCCACGCGTCTAGAGTGAACACCGCCACGCGTCTAGAGTGAACACCGCCACGCGTCTAGAGTGAACACCGCCACGCGTCTAGAGTGAACACCGCCACGCGTCTAGAGTGACCACCGCCACGCGTCTAGAGTGAACACCGCCACGCGTCTAGAGTGAACACCGCCACGCGTCTAGAGTGAACACCGCCACGTGTCTAGAGTGAACACCGCCACGTGTCTAGAGTGAACACCGCCACGCGTCTAGAGTGACCACCGCCACGCGTCTAGAGTGAACACCGCCACGCGTCTAGAGTGAACACCGCCACGTGTCTAGAGTGAACACCGCCACGCGTCTAGAGTGAACACCGCCACGCGTCTAGAGTGAACACCGCCACGCGTCTAGAGTGAACACCGCCACGCGTCTAGAGTGAACACCGCCACGCGTCTAGAGTGAACACCGCCACGCGTCTAGAGTGAACACCGCCACGCGTCTAGAGTGAACACCGCCACGCGTCTAGAGTGAACACCGCCACGCGTCTAGAGTGAACACCGCCACGCGTCTAGAGTGAACACCGCCACGTGTCGAGTGAACACCGCCACGCGTCTAGAGTGAACACCGCCACGTGTCGAGTGAACACCGCCACGCGTCTAGAGTGAACACCGCCACGTGTCGAGTGAACACCACCACGCGTCTAGAGTGAACACCGCCACGTGTCGAGTGAACACCACCACGCGTCTAGAGTGAACACCGCCACGTGTCGAGTGAACACCGCCACGCGTCTAGAGTGAACACCGCCACGTGTCGAGTGAACACCGCCACGCGTCTAGAGTGAACACCGCCACGTGTCGAGTGAACACCACCACGCGTCTAGAGTGAACACCGCCACGTGTCGAGTGAACACCACCACGCGTCTAGAGTGAACACCGCCACGTGTCGAGTGAACACCGCCACGCGTCTAGAGTGAACACCGCCACGTGTCGAGTGAACACCGCCACGCGTCTAGAGTGAACACCGCCACGTGTCGAGTGAACACCACCACGTGTCTAGAGTGAACACCGCCACGCGTCTAGAGAGAACACCGCCACGCGTCTAGAGTGAACACCGCCACGCGTCTAGAGTGAACACCGCCACGCGTCTAGAGTGAACACCGCCACGCGTCTAGAGTGAACACCGCCACGCGTCTAGAGTGAACACCGCCACGTGTCGAGTGAACACCGCCACGCGTCTAGAGTGAACACCGCCACGCGTCTAGAGTGAACACCGCCACGTGTCGAGTGAACACCGCCACGCGTCTAGAGTGAACACCGCCACGTGTCGAGTGAACACCACCACGTGTCTAGAGTGAACACCGCCACGTGTCGAGTGAACACCACCACGTGTCTAGAGTGAACACCGCCACGCGTCTAGAGTGAACACCGCCACGCGTCTAGAGTGAACACCGCCACGCGTCTAGAGTGAACACCGCCACGCGTCTAGAGTGAACACCGCCACGCGTCTAGAGTGAACACCGCCACGTGTCGAGTGAACACCACCACGCGTCTAGAGTGAACACCACCACGTGTTGACGAGCCTCACCTTGTTGTTATTGTTGTTGTGGGCAGGTCGCTGCTGAAAACAAGAGCGGTACAGCAGCTCAAGCGGGCGTGGCCTGGTAAAAATAAAAACTGTGTGAATGTTTAAAGTAAAACAAGTTACAAAGTGGCGAGCCGGGTCAAGACAAATTCAACTTAAGCGAGAGAATTGAAGCGAACGCGACCAGGCGAGGGCAGGAGGCACTAGGCCCGCGTTGTAAAGTTTAAATCTGGACATCGCTTCCATGCTCGCTGCTACTCAATTGACATCCCTACGAGAGAGAGGCTCTACCTTGGTAAACAACAACAACAACCACAACAACAACAACCACCACAACAACCACCACCGTAATGAGAATTTCTCACCTCGGATTTCAGTGCACGGGCCGAGTGGCAACTTCCTGGTCCCTCGTGACGTCACGCAGCAGCAGGTGACATGACGTCACTCGCGGGGTACGATGACACTCCCCTCCCACAATGAGCGGCTCTCAACTCGCGACGCCTTTCACGAATAAATTATGTTAATGAGCCGCCAGTCACCGGGCGTGGCTTTGCCCAAATAAGGATTGGCACTGGGACAGACATCGGCAGCGGCCTAGCGGAGGTGACGTCACGCGCAAGAGCGCGGTGGTCGGGGTAGGTGACATGACGTCACTAGCGAGGCACACTTCCCCATTGCGTTTGACGCCGATGAGATCACGCGGCGCTGTGACGTCAGAGGGCTGGGTCAGAGTTCAAGTTTGTTGACAGAAGGGGAGCGGCAGTGACGTGGTGAGCGCTGCGCTCCGCACCGACCAGCCGAGTTCCATTCCCGCTCGTGGCCAACGCCGCCAGAGACGACTTTCTGAGCCGGTCCTGGGCCTCCCCTAAGTCGACTCAGCCTCAAACGAGTCCCCGGTGCGGTGTGTCAACATCGCCAGCACTGGGGAGACAAAGGCGGCCGGGCGTGGTGCTGGCCACCCACCACCCCCTCTGTGTGTGCCGTGACGACCTGCACCGGTGCTGCTACTCGCTATGAGCAGCACTTTGTAGACGTCGTGGCTTGGCTCTCCAGCACACCGCTGGCGACATGTCACGATGACATTTTCATGAAAAGAAAATCGCCATACGAACCTCGGCCGTTTTTTGGCAAAATTGGCCCAATTTTCATGGCTTTATTTTTCAACGAAAAGTGCATTCCTTGGTTGTGTTTATAGCCTGAGTAGCCCATATATTACGTTAAAAAGTGGGGAATTTGATGCATGAAATTTTCGAATATAAAAAAGTTCATCGGCATACTGTGCCGTTTTTAGGCTCAATAAGCCAAACTTTTGACAGCTTTATTTTTGGACGAAAGTTAATTCCTCTATTGTATTTATCCTTAGTATGCCATGTATTAGATTAAAATGCCGTTTTTGGTCAATAATGGCCAAATTTTTACAGCTTCATTTTTCAACAAAAGTGCAATCCTCGGGTGTGCTTAGCCTTAGTATCCTATATATTACGTAAAAAAAAGTGGTAAATTTCACCATGAAATTTTAAAGTAAAAAAATTAAATCGGCCAAAATTGGCCACACTTTCACAGCCTTATTTGTCGACAAAGGTTCATTGCTCCATTGTATTTAGCCTTAGTATGCTATGTATTTGATTAAAATTGGAAAATTTCACGATGAAATGTTCATGTCCCAAACAGAAAATCGACATACTAAACCTCTGCCGTTTTTGGCTAAAATTGAACGAATTTTTACAGCTGTATTTTTAAATAAAAAGTGCATTCCTCGGTTGTGTTGAGCATGATTAGCCTATAAATTACATTAAAAGTGGGAAATTTGACCATGAAATTTGAAGTAAAAAGATCAAATCGGCATACTTTACCAATGGCGTTCTTGGCCAAAATTTGCTACATTTTCATAGCTAGATTTTCCAAGAAAAAGTTAACTCCTCCATTTTGTTAAGCATTAGTATGCTCTATATTACTTTAAAAGTGGGACATTTCACGATGACATTTTCACGTCCATAAAAGGAAAATCGCCATACTAACCTAGGCCGTTTTTGGCAAAATCGATCCAATTTTTTTTAGCTTTTTTTGCAACGAAAAGTGCATTCCTTGGTTGTGTTTAGCCTGAGTAGCCCATATATTACGTTAAAAAGTGGGGAATTTCATGAATTAACTTTTCGAATATAGAAAAGTTAATCGGCATACTGTGCCGTTTTTAGGCTCAATAAGCCCAACTTTCACAGATTTATTTTCGGACGAAAGTTAATTGGCTCCATTGTATTTAGCCTTAGTATGCTATGTATTAGATTAAAAGTGGAACATTTCACGATGAAATGTTCACGACCCCAACAGAAAATCGGCATGCTAACCTCTGCCGTTTTTGGCAAAAATTGAACCAATTTTTACAGCTGTATTTTGAAACAAAAAGTGCATTCCTCGGTTGTGTTTAGACTGAGTAGCCTCTATATTACATTAAAAGTGGGAAATTTCACAATGAAATTTGAAGTAAAAAGATCAAATCGGCATACTTTACCAATGCCGTTCTTGGTCAAAATTTGCTCAATTTTCATAGCTAGATTTTTCAAGAAAAAGTGAATTCCTCCATTTTGTTAAGCATTAGTATGCTCTATATTACTTTAAAAGTGGAAAATTTCACGATTAAATTTTCACGCCCCAAAAATAAAATCAGGGATACTTACTTATGCCGGTTTTAACCAAAATAAGCCAAATTTTCATAGCTTTTTTTTTCAACAAAAAGTTAATTCATCAATTGTATTTACCCTTAGTATGCTATGTATTAGATTAAAAGTGGAACATTTTATGATGAAATGTGCACGTCCCAATATAGAATATCGGCATACCGTTTTTGGCCAATAATGGACAAATATTTGCAACTTCATTTTTCAACAAAAGTGCAATCCTCGGGTGTGCTTAGCCTTAGTATCCTATATATTACGATAAAAGGTGGGAAATTTCACACCGGGTACTTCCCGCGAGTACTCTTATATAAGCACACAACTTCATCTGTCTGTGATGAACGCTGCACTTTACTTAGTTTTCATGCAGGAGGCGCTGCAAACCTACGCGCCCCCTGCATGAACGACGGAGGAGCAGGGACAGACGTTCGATCGCGTTGGAATCGATCTGCAGACGGCGGTCTTCTGGCACGGCCAGCTCTATGTCGCCTTATCTCCACCCCGCGATCCCAACCAGGAGAAAGTCCGCATCAAACCGAACCCCGGTAAGGCCATCTACTTAACGACGAAAATAATTCACGCGAAATGTTGTTTTCAATTAAGTCTTCCAGATGTAAAATGATATAATACAATTATCTAATTAAAACATAATACAATTCAAAGTTGTTTCATTTTAAAACTCCAAAATGGAGCATCGGGAGTTGGCGTGAATGCGTCGTTCATGTGCAATTTTCTTCGTGACTTTCCTGGCCGAAAGCCGTGAATGGTTGTGAGGGGCACCGCAGGCAATCAGGCTTGCTTCAACCCCATGGTTGTCAACATCCAGACGTTAATCGGCAAGGACCATTTCTTGTCCGAGTTCGCCAACATATAAGACGTCATGCAAAATTCTAATGAGTGTTGTTGTGGAGAATGTATCTACTAGATGTGCTCTGCCTTGTAACCAAATACAAATCTATACCAAAAATGCATTTCAAATAGGCTCTTAGAATTACCTCCTTGCTATGAAGCAGATCAGCAGACACAACATCTTTCATTTATCAATCTCTCCACGAAACAAATGAATGTTTTACACAAACTATAACTAGCACGGACTTCTGGGAGTGCGTCAATTATTCAGTGCAAGCCACCTGTGGACCCTTATTGGTGCACAGCGTCTCAACAGCAGCCGGGCTTGTTTCAACCGATAGTTACGGACATCCAGACGTTAATCAGCAAGGAGCATTTCTAGTCCGAGTTAGACAAAATCTACGTCAACACGTAATGCAAAATTATAATTCGTGTTGTAGAGAATGTACCTCCTCTATGTGTAACTTTTAAGTGGTTTGCCTTGTAACTGATGAATGATCCGAGTGTGCTCCTATTTCAAAGACAATGAGTTGCTCCAGAGGGAGATGCTTCCTGAAACCACAAAAGTACTCTTTGACCTGTATCACAAGAACAATGAGTCTCACCTGAGTGATCTGTACAGGTTACTCCAAAAACACACACTTTGTCCTAACATCACTTAATCAATGTTTGACCCTTGTAGACAAAATGTTACATGTACGCACACAATCGGACAAGTATTCATTCTAAATTATTGACAATAATTTTTACGAAGTTAAATTACTGCATTGAAATATGCTGCATCAGGTTACATCGTATTAACAAGATAAACAAAAAACACTGTCTGCTTAATAGTGTATGTACAACATACTATTGTGTCATTCAAAACGAGTAGGCCATTGGATGCTGTCGTCTGGGTCAAAATTGAGCAAATTCTAAACATTACCTACAAACTCCACAACTAAGATGCCACATCAACCATCGCCCCCTACTGACAGGCTCTTGTTCACATGCAGGCCGGTGCAGGGCCACCACCTTGTGCCACACAGGGGCAGCTGCTACTTGGGGATGCTCTTCGAGTGTTTGAGACGAGAAACGATACAAAACTACTAATTGCCGAGGCAATTAAGCAAGCACAATATAAATGCAATTATGATAACATAGTGAATGCTTGGGAGCTTATTGGCTCTCGCTCCTGGTTAGAGATCTACCCAACACACAGGTCCACAACGACTGGCCGCTCTTACCCTGCAGGTTGAACCTAGGAACCGAGTGTTCAACTTCACATTCTTTTCATTAAAGGCCTGTGACAAAGGTGCATCTATTGGAGCGGCATCGTCTAAGGCAGTGGTTCTTAACCTTGTTGGAGATACTGAACCCCACCAGTTTCATATGCACATTCACAGAACCCTTCTTAAATGGAAAAATAAAATTATTTTTTCAAATTCAAAACATAGGTACATGTTTTACTGGTGCACAATCATACGAGTCAGGTGTGTGTCTTAACCTCCGCCGAACCCCTGAGACTGACTCACCGAACCCCTGGGGCTCGATCGAACCCAGGTTAAGAACCACTGGTCTATGGCTTACGCATCTCCCGGGTCTCCATTTGACTTTGTATTGTCTCGGAGGAAGTCCACCCACACCTCCACTTCCACAAACTGCTGGGAGTTGCCTCGCTCTGCCTCACAGTCAGAATTCTCCTCCTGCTTCACGTTGCCTCCATCGATGTGAAAGTCCGATTTTGGAATTGAATCTTCATCTTCACATTTTACCTTCACTTCTTCGCTCTTCACCATCACTTCTTCACATTTCACCTTCACCTCTTCAAATTTCACCTCGATACCTTTAAAAGTTTCCAAGCTGGGATTTTCTTCCGGTTCTTGTTTCATGAGAGATGGGCTCATTGAGGCACTTTGACTTTCACAAGCTGATATCAGACTCCGCTCCTTGTGGATATTATGATGCTTGTGTGTTCTCTGGTGTTTTTTAAGAGTCGATGAACTTGCAAACGCCTTCCCACACACACTGCACTTCCAGGGTTTCTCTCCCGTGTGTGTTCTCTGGTGTGCTACAAGAGCAGATGACATTGCAAACGCCTTCCCACACACACTGCACTTGAAGGGTTTCTCTCCAGAGTGTGTTCTCTGGTGTGCTACAAGAGCAGATAACTGTGCAAACGCCTTCACACACACACTGCGTTTGAAGGGTTTTTCTCCCGTGTGTGTTCTCTTGTGTGTTGCAAGAGTAGATGAAAGTGCAAACGCCTTCCCACACACACTGCACTTGAAGGGTTCCTCTCCCGTGTGTGTTCTCTGGTGTTTTGCACGATGAGATGAATCTAAAAACGCCTTCCCACACACACTGCACTTGAAGGGTTTTTCTCCCGTGTGTGTTCTCTGGTGTTTTACAAGAGTAGATGAATGTGAAAATGCCTTCCCACACACACTGCACTTGAAGGGTTTTTCTCCCGTGTGTGTTCTCTGGTGTTTTACAAGAGTAGATGAAAGTGCAAACGCCTTCCCACACACACTGCACTTGAAGGGTTTCTCTCCCGTGTGTGTTCTCTGGTGTGTTACAAGAGTAGATGACTTTGTAAACGCCTTCCCACACACACTGCACTTGAATGGTTTCTCTCCCGTGTGTGTTCTCTGGTGTTCTACAAGAACATATGACTGTGCAAACGCCTTCCCACACACACTGCACTTGAAGGGTTTTTCTCCCGTGTGTGTTCTCTGGTGTGTTGCAAGAGTAGATGAAAGTGCAAACGCCTTCCGACATACACTGCACTTGAAGGGTTTCTCTCCCGTGTGTGTTCTCTGGTGTTTTACAAGATGAGCTGAATCTGAAAACGCCTTCCCACACACACTGCACTTGCAGGGTTTCTCTCCCGTGTGTGTTCTCTGGTGTTCTACAAGAGTAGATGACTTTGCAAACGCCTTCCCACACACACTGCACTTGAAGGGTTTCTCTCCCGTGTGTGTTCTCTGGTGTACTACAAGAGCAGATGACTTTGCAAACGCCTTCCCACATACACTGCACTTGAAGGGTTTCTCTCCCGTGTGTGTTCTCTGGTGTGTTACAAGAGTAGATGAATCTGAAAACGCCTTCCCACACACACTGCACTTGCAGGGTTTCTCTCCCGTGTGTGTTCTCTGGTGTGTTACAAGAGTAGATGACCGTGCAAACGCCCTCCCACACACACTGCACTTGAAGGGTTTCTCTCCCGTGTGTGTTCTCTGGTGCCGTGTCAAATGTTCAGGACAATTCGTGCTGTATGAACACCGGTCGCATTGTTGCCTTGTCGCACCGAGCTGCGCCGAGTGCCTTTGCTCCATCAGACCAATTCTGCAGAGGAAAGTACAGAGGAAGCGTCAGTTGCAGACAGAAAAAAAAATATCTACACGTCAGTATCGATGCACAGAGGAATGCATATACACAGTCACACGTGACTTACACGTCAATACTTATTTATATATTCATGATATAGTGAAAAAGCTTCCCAAATTCATCACGCGGGCTGTTATGGCACACAATGAGAGGGCAAATGGTCACAAATTTCGGCTGTCTGGCTACAAAAGGAATATTTATGAAAGCTAAATTCAGTTGACATAGCAAAAGGTGTTGAAAATAATACTATTTGTGTTGTGCAGAAATTCATAAATTCATGCTCAATCGCAACTTAGATGTGTGTTGTATATATAGACCTTTTCCAAAAATATATATTGAGAATAATTCGACCCATTTTTTTCCTTAAATAATTAATAAATGAAACCAACACTCAACTCCGCTACCCCTCAAACCACACCAAGCATCTGGAGGTCATTAAACAACAAACTTCGGGGCAAAGAGGGGTTCGCGACTATCTGGAAATCTCCAGGCTGGCAGATGACCATATGACATGACCTCCCCGGACGTTTTGGACAGTTCACAAACAAATCTCCAGAGCACATAGCAGAGACAAACGGACGTTACAACTCGCATTTTCTTTAACGGCAAAAGTTTGAAACTCGTCAAAAAGAACAAATCGACGTTATAGACTGCAGTCTATATGAGCGGCTTTATACTGGTAGGAACGAAGTGGACCAGACACCAATAGATTATATCATCCGTCCGTTTGTCCATTTGTCCGTCCGTCCGTCCGTGTAGCAACATCGCCCCCTACTGCAAACACTTGGCATGACCCTACAAAAACCTTGAGACTCAGTGACGCTATCCTGGCTAAACAAGTGTAACATTCCCTTATAATTCCCTCAGATAGCTTTTAATTAAAACATTTAAATTAATGAGGCTTTCCTGGCTAAACACGTGTAACATTCCTTATAATTCCCTGAGATAGCTTTTAATTAAAACTTTGAAATTAAATTAAAAAACTCACAGCGCCCTAAAGCCTACAGCTAGGCCTAAAGCCTAGAACTAGGCCTGAAACTCTCCCTTCGTATCGTACCCCCGCGTGTGTGAAAGGGAGTTAATGTTTCACAATGTTACATTCCCTGATTTTTTAAAATAGAAACATTTAAATTTCAAGCTTTTACATTAATAATTAAAACATTTAAATTAAATATTAACTCACAGCGACCTAAAGCCTACAGCTAGGCCTAAAGCCTAGAAATAGGCCTCAAAGTCTCCCTTCGTATCGTCCGATTAGGTGTAGCAACATCGCCCCCTACTGCAAACACTTGGCAGGACCCTACAAAAACCTCCAGTGGGGCTTTCCTGGCTAAACAAGTGTAATAATACATTATGTTTATATTCTTTGATATTCGTTCCTACCAGCCCACCCCGCAGGGTCCTGTTTATTATTTATTTTATTTCACCCTTATTCAACTCGTATATCATTTTGTATTGTATCTTTCTATCCATGTAACTTCACCAAGAGAACCAAGGAATGTGCATTCTGGTAGACAAGAAAGTGAGCGCTTGGTTATATCTCCAGCCTCGGGATATCAAAATATAACTCAAAATAAAACACCGATCCCTGGTGACACAGACTTACAACAAAGCTTGGCAAAACCCTCGGAATAATGGTAACAACGAGGGGCATTACGAATCTTGGTTCTTGGTTAAACATGAACCAAATAATAACCACGAGATATTAGACCCGGGGTAACTCATAAGAGGTACAAGAAATAGGTCCAACACACACAAGACCGGATAATATGTATTCCATGGAATCAAAGCCTCCCCGGCCACCTTTGTCTTCCAACAATTTGACACAAACACATGGCAGCCACAATTACGTATGAAGGGTGTCTGGCCTTGAGCTAACAAACACAACGAAGGGGGGGGGGATGCCAACAAGCATAAACTTAGACGGAAAACAGCCCATCCGGGGTCATCAAGGGAAGGGGGGGGGCATTCAGGCGCGGCCGCGGAGAGAGGACGGTGACAGAGGGCATCTGTTTTTTTTCTCTCGCAAGAGACGCACAGAGAGGGGAGGGAATTTCAGATATAACCAACGACACAGATCATGCAATTCAGTCTTGCAAAGGGGCAAACTCCGGGGCATGGCCTCGAGATCAACCATGGGTGTCGTGTCTCGTGGAGCGAAGGGACGATGTGTTGTTAAGAGCTGAGTTCGGTATGAACTGACAGAGTATCGCTGAAAGTTTATTCTACATTCATCCTGATGTTTTGAGTCGCTTGTGGAATCGAGGGTTTGCGATAAGTTGTATTGTACCAAGCTATCAGAGTTGCGTAAGAGGTGTGCTAATACAATTTACAAGTTTTGAGAGTAAGTGATCCAGCCAGCGACGAGCAGCTCACAGCAGCAGCCCTCTTAGAAGAAGGGTGGAGAGCACGAAAGTTGAGCAACGACAAGGCGAAGCCCCGAAGTGAGGGCGGGAGAGGTAACACAATGCCAGTGCAAAACTGGCAGCTGCACGCCAAGGGCGAAAGCAAGGAGAGAGAAAGGAGAGAGCACGGAGCAGTGGAAAGAGCCTGAGCCAGCGCAAGCCCTGAAGTAAGGGCAGGTGTCCGTGTGAAGCTGGCAGCTGCACGATCAAGGAGAGAGCACGGAGCAGTGGAAAGAGCCTGACCAGCCGCCCATGAGCAAGAGTGTCAGCGCCAGCGAGAGCGCCGTGGGTTCGACCCACATACACACCGACCAGCACCAGCTGGGAACCAATGCCAGAGTGAGGAGCGGCGACCATCAGACAAGCTGCGCGCGCTATCTGATGACGGAATCATCGCACACCGCCGACGGCGAGCATCACGCCAACTCAACCAGCAGTGAAGAGAGCTGCAACGCCAAGAGGAAGAGTGCCGTGTGTTTAATACACACACACACGTACACACAGCTACACACACACACAGCTACACACACACACGTACACACAGCTACACACACACACGTACACACACGTACACACAGCCACACACACACACAGCTACACAGCTACACACACAGCTACACACACACACAGCTACACAGCTACACACACACACAGCTACACACGTACACACAGCTACACACGTACACACAGCTACACACGTACACACAGCTACACACACACACACGAACACACACACACACGAACACACAGCTACACACACACACACGTACACACAGCTACACACACACACGTACACACAGCTACACACACACACGTACACACAGCTACACACACACACACGTACACACAGCTACACACACACACACGTACACACAGCTACACACACACACACGTACACACAGCTACACACACACACACGTACACACAGCTACACACACACACACGTACACACAGCTACACACACACGTACACACAGCTACACACACACACACGTACACACAGCTACACACACACACACGTACACACAGCTACACACACACACACGTACACACAGCTACACACACACACACGTACACACAGCTACACACACACACGTACACACAGCTACACACACACACGTACACACACAGCTACACACACACACGTACACACAGCTACACGTACACTCAGCTACAAAGATCCCCGTATAGCCTTAACAGACTGTAGGGTCAAGTGCTGTTAGCGAGCACCTATGAAGGCCAGAACGGCACACGAGGGGGTGGGTGGCCAGCACCACGCCCGACCGCCTTTGTCTCCCAGTGGCGACGTTTACACACCGCACCAGGTACTCATTTAAGGCTGAGTCGACCTAGGGGAGGCCCAGGACCGGTTCAGATAATCGTCACTGGTGTTGGCCGTGAGCGGGAATCGAACCCGGGTCGCCAGGTTCATAGCGCAGCGCGCTAACCGCTACACTATTGCTCCCCACAGCTACACACACACACGTACACTCAGCTACACACACACACAGCTAAACACACACACACATACACACAGCTACACACACACACGTACACTCAGCTATACACACACACACACGTACACACAGCTACACACACACACGTACACTCAGCTATACACACACACACTCAGCTACACACACACACGTACACACAGCTACACACACACACGTACACTCAGCTACACACACACACGTACACACAGCTACACACACACACACGTACACACAGCTACACACACACACGTACACTCAGCTACACACACACACACACACGTACACACAGCTACACACACACACACACAGCTAAACACACACACACATACACACAGCTACACACACACACGTACACTCAGCTATACACACACACACACAGGTACACACAGCTACACACACACACACTCAGCTACACACACACACACTTAGCTACACACACACACGTACACACAGCTACACACACACACGTACACACAGCTACACACACACACGTACACACAGCTACACACACAGCTACACACACACACGTACACACAGCTACACGTACACTCAGCTACAAAGATCCCCGTATAGCCTTAACAGACTGTAGGGTCAAGTGCTGTTAGCGAGCACCTATGAAGGCCAGAACGGCACACGAGGGGGTGGGTGGCCAGCACCACGCCCGACCGCCTTTGTCTCCCCAGTGGCGACGTTTACACACCGCACCAGGTACTCATTTAAGGCTGAGTCGACCTAGGGGAGGCCCAGGACCGGTTCAGATAATCGTCACTGGTGTTGGCCGTGAGCGGGAATCGAACCCGGGTCGCCAGGTTCATAGCGCAGCGCGCTAACCGCTACACTATTGCTCCCCACAGCTACACACACACACGTACACTCAGCTACACACACACACAGCTAAACACACACACACATACACACAGCTACACACACACACGTACACTCAGCTATACACACACACACACGTACACACAGCTACACACACA